GTAAGTCGTCACAAGTACAATTGTATAGTTTTTTTTTTTTAAGGGTGGGAACTCATCGAATGCCTGCTCCCGCCTGGGTGAGGCGGAAGGGAGTGTCAGACTCTTACTGACTAAAAACCACCCCGTTCCTTCTCCTGCACGTCGAGCCGGAGCCCCGGTTACCCGTTAGGTTCTCCGCGACACAATTGTATAGTTTACGGGTCGCTAAGCTGAACTTAAGGTCAGTACCCTGCATTTCAATTGCAGACGGACTAGGAAACTATTTGCTTCTTAAAAGGTAAACGTTATTTCTTGCCTTATTGAAGAAAGAAGATTTTTGAGAGTTTTATTTTATGTGATAAGATGATAAACAAACAGACGGATCACCTGATGGCAAGCGAATGGGCCGGCTCGACCGGAGTGATACCACGGCCTCATAGAAAACCAATGTGAAGCAACGCTTGCGTTGTGTTTCGTGGTGTGAGTGAGGTTACCGGAGGCCTAATTAATAAGAGACCCTCCCCTTCCCCAAATCCCTGAATCCCCAACGATCCTCAAACTCCTAATCCCCAAAAGGCCGGTAACGAACTTGTAACGCCTCTGGTGTTCCAGGTGTCCATGGGCGACGCCGATTGCTTACAATCAGGTCCGTATGGCATTAACTCGTCGAGTACCGGTTTTATAGACACAATTAAAGAACAATAGGTCGCGGTCACCGGTGACCGCTTGGTGTTTGACAGTTTAAAAAAAGCGATCGGCGTCGCCCGGAAACCAGTTACAAGTGCGTTACCGGCCTTTTGGGGATTAGGAGTTTGAGGATCGTTGGGTATTCAGGGATGAGAAGTTGTTTCACGTCAGTTTTCTGCACGGCCTTGGTATCACTCCGGTCGAGCCGGCCCATTCGTGCCGAAGCGTGGCTCCCCCATACTTAGAAATTTCAAATGCCTAAGTATTGTTGGGATTTCTTTGACGTAAGTTTTGACATTCGGATTGAACTTCGTTTTTTGTTTCATTATAAAAATGATTTTAAAAGAAATATAAAAAAATCTCCTTTTTTACGTATACCTAAATCTTGTCAGCTTGTTTATTGGCGTAAGTTTTATGATTTGCGTTGAATTTTGTGTTGATAGGTGTATTGAATGGTAATCATTCATTTCCTTATTATTGTAAGTATTTTTCTTACTGTTTTTGTCAAAAAGACAAAGTCAAAATCATTTATTTCAATTAGACCAGGAAGGCACTTTTAAACGTCAAAACAAAATATTTAAATATTAAATAATAAGAAAAAATGTTAGTCTGTAGGTCAGTTCTCTAGTGAAGCTATTTGCTCGTTCCAAAGTGTAGATTCCTATGGAGAAGAACGAACAAGAAACTCCATAGGTTACTCTTTTTCACTTATGTTCAAACACCATATTTGTAATGATTAAACTAATTAGTACCGAACTGCAACACTATAATTTTTTTTTCACTTACAAATTTAACTTATTACTAAGCATCGCCAAAATATTCAACAGTTAGTTGGCGAAAATGTTTTCTTTCTTTTCTTTTTAAAATACAGGAGTAAGTATTTTAAACGTATCAATATCTTTTGCTATCCACCAATGGTCACATCAGTCTCATTGCAATAGAAAGCGACCTAATTCCCAAACATAGAACACAGTTTTAAAAGCACCAACCGATAGATACATACGATACCCTGGAACATCTTTATAAAGACTATGACGTCTTTAAAAGCAATAGTACCGACTTTATCCTCCTTCGTGTAACCAAGTAACCAAATGCGGTCAAGCGAAACGATCACACAGACTGAGGTCATTGTCCCAGCCTTTCTACTAAATGGATCAGCTCTCATTGTTTTTAGAAAATGCAAGGTAATGACAATTGTAGGTATACTTGGAAATATAACTCTATTAGTGTATCTAAATAGTTAGTCTCTTCGTGTGCAATAATTATAATAATTACCTCTATAAGTTTTGTTATAGTATATCTATTTGTTTATCGATGTATTAATTTTTTGGATCTGTTTCAGTTTTGTATTGTATTTTTGTTTATTTATGTATTATATTTTATATGGGCCACAGTTGCCTGAAATAAAGGAACAACAAAAAAAAAATAACGTTACGTCTTTATATTAAGAGGTCGGCAGAAGTGCACATCTTGGTTGTAGCATTATGTAACTTTAAGCAGTTTTGTAATGAATCTTTTGTAATAGAGCATGTTGTTCTTGTCATACTTCGAGTTTGATCCTGAACAACTTATAAATGTTTAAACTTACTACTACTACTACTTACAAAACACTAAACAAATTATAGGACATCCAATCCTCATACGAAAGTCATTAGACACAAAATCACGTACCCACGTCCAATACATTGCCAACCTAATGAACATAGATTGCCAACTACCAACCTTCTGCCCAAATTCTCTAGTTTAACCTTGACTAACTATTCCGTGCCTGACTGACCCTCTGTCGTTATACGTCCATGTGTTGCTTACTAAACAGATGTGTTGGTAACACAATAAATATGCTAGGTATATCCTTTATGGGGTCTGAGTTAGAGCACTAATAACATAACTTTATGCCTTTTATCCCGGTAGGAATGGCAGAGGTGCACATTACGGCACTTAATGCCACTGTACAATGTAACACCCATTTTTACTATTTATGTTATGAGTCCCATGTAAGATGGTGAGCCTATCCCCATATACCGGGCACAATACAGACTACTACTAATACTGAAGTTTTTTTTAAACCCAACTAATACTTGCCCGACCTGGGAATTGAACCCGAGACTTGCGACACTTGCAACCACTCGGCCAATCATAATGAGGCAGTTAATGTAGTTAGAGCAACAGTTTTGGAATTAAATGCAAGAATAAGGAATACGAAATATCATCAACACTAACAGTAGCGTGTGACGGTCAATTCACTACTGGACTGTAGGTATAATCTATATTTTGTCATAATTTTGATATTAAGCAAGCGAGTCGGAGACCGCAATTTTAAACGGTCAGATAATAGTAGGCAAACGAGTAGACGGATAACTTGATAGCTTACGATCAGCGCCGCCAATGCGATCAGCGATCAGCGCCGCCAATGCTATTAGGGATCAGCGCCGCCAATGCGATTAGCGGTCAGCGTCGCCAATGCGATTAGCAATCAGCGCCGCTAATGCGATCAGCGATCAGCGCCGCCAATGCGATCAGCGATCAGCGCCGCCAATGCGATCAGCGGTCAGCACCGCCAATGCGATTAGCGATCAGCGCCGCCAATGCGATTAGCAATCAGCGCCGCTAATGCGATCAGCGATCAGCGCCGCCAATGCGATCAGTGATCAGCGTCGCCAATGCGATTAGCGATCAGCGCCGCTAATGCGATCTGCGATCAGATGGACACCAGAGGAGTCACAGGTGCGATGCCAGCCTTTTAAAAAGGAATACGCTCTTTTCTCAAAGGTTGCCCAATTTTGACAATCCTTCAGCCAGATCGAGCCCAGTAGAGCTGATGCCGAATTCGTAGCTGCGGACAGGCTAGCGGGTTGCCGGAGTTCCAGCTCGAAGAAGAACGGAGTGGTTTTTAGTCCGTAGAAGTCTGACACTCTCTCTCGCCTCACCCAAGAAGGAGAGGGAAAAGAAAAACATAAAACAGACTTTCACGATACCCGTGGGCTCTACGCATGGTGATAAAAAATATGCTCTACCCTGCCGTCACTACTTTTGATACAATTATCATATTTTTATTTTATTTTGTTTTTGTTTGACGTGTTATACCATATAATACAACTTTTTGTAACATGTTATAGAAGATCAAGCAAGTTAGGTAAGGATTTTACGTGACATGAGAATTGAACCGTGCGAAAAATCTTCAATACTCGTATTTGCAACAACTAGACCAATGAGTCAACTAAATGTCTAAGATATTGAATGATTTTTGCTAATGTAACTAACTTAATTTATTAACTAACGAATTATTTATTGGTTTTATTTTGTGTATTTAGTTTTAAGTATAGACTTAAGTTTCCATATGTTTTGTTTTATTCGTTTATACCATGTCACACATAGTGTCTTAGATTTTACTGTTTTTCCTATCGAAGGACCGCAAGAAGAGATTCCCACTGGATTATGCAGTGCCTATGAACTTTCAATTCCTTTATAAATTTGTTCCCCTGCCTATTTAAAAGTTAATTACAATGAAAAAACAGATACAAACTTGACCAGCAACAGTCAGGGTTTCACCTCTAATAATAAATTCAAGGTTTCCTTAAATTCTTTAGGTACAATGTCATTCGCTATCGAATCTTTAAAATATTATAATAAAGAATAAATTCATTATAAGTAAACATAGTCATTAAAAAAAATACAATATGGTTATTTCTTAAAAAGTTCAACAGGAACTCGTCGTCATCAAATGCTTGTAATTATTTTTGGCCTCAAAAATTCGCAATTGGGACCAAAAAATAAGGTCAAGTTCATTCATGAAGTCATGCCGTTTAAAAAGTTGTAACTCCCGTTGTAAAATAGTAAGGGGTCCCAGACAAAAGGTCCTAAGCGTAAGCCCCACTAACTAATCTCACAATATTGTAATATCTACTTAGACTTCAATATACACATTGAAGAAACCAATAACTTAAAGCAGTTCTTAAAACCACGACACGTACGAAAAATACACCGCTCGAATCGGAAATCGAACCGAGGAATTTACTTACAACCGTCACTAACGAACTAACACTTAAATACAGAAAAAGTTGACAAAAGTCAAAACAATAAAAAATATAGGCAAGTTACTTGCACTATACTATTTATACGTCTAAACAGAGCATAAAAATCCGGGAAAGCGGGAAGAAAAAGCATCGACTTTCGCGTCAAAGTTGACACGTATTTACAAAGCAAATCGATATAAAATACTATTACAATGTCTACAATAATTATTAAAGTTATTGTTACCGGAATATTATCACCACGAATGGCATTAAAAACGCAATATGGCGACCAAAAAACAAGTTTTATCTTTTAAAAATCACCTTTCACTTCTTCAACCAAGGTTTGTCCGTGCACAGACGCGGCGACACCAACAAGGAATATTAAACACAACACATTCATTTTCAATAACTTAAAAACACTTTAAAATCACAAAAAAGTCCTCATTTAACTATTAAAAGTTTTATTTAGAGCGATAGACTAAACTTTTTATCGAGTTTCTTTTTTAAAAATTTAAAATGTCAATGCAATGGCGCGACGCTTGCGCGCTCGCGGCTTATGGCGAGTGGGGCGTCGGTGTTGCCATGATCTGGTTGTTAAAGTTCAATTAGGGAAATTATTATGAATATGATGATTGATTATGATGCACATAGGTGCATCTCTATCTATCTTATTAATAGTAATAAGTTCCTTTTAACCAGATGTAGGTAGTTCCTAATTTCCTATATATAAACATACTACAATTTTGTACCGGACAGAATCCCAGACACCGTGCTACACCAAGAAAGTTTAATAAAACAACTCAAAAAAAACCTTGGTACCACTTTGGCCGACCTAAGGAATTGGACTTAAGGACTATTGCTGAACCGTCAAGGCATTCGAACACTAACACTTATTATTTATCAACATCGTATTTTTCGTCTTATAAATTACTAGCTTCTGCCCGCAACTTCGTATGCGTAATTCCATTTTTTCCCGTCCCCATTCGTGATTTTCGGTAAAAAGTAAAAAAAAAAAATTGGTTAAAAAGTATCCTATGTCGGTCTCCTGGCTCTGAGCTACCTCCCTACCAATTTTCAGCCAAATCTATTCTGCTATTCTTGAGTTATAAGTGGTGTAACTAACACGACTTTCTTTTATATATATAGATTCCTACAAAATTATCCAATTACCACATTCACGGGAATATATTTCAACCTGGCAACCCAGTTGTAAGCCAGTCTGTCACGTCGGGTAAACACCAGTATCTAAAATTCGATCAATATTGAACCTTATACTATAGATATAAGTTTCAATTTCAAATGTCTTTAACAACAGTACATTCACATTGCCACTAAACAGGTATTTGTGACGTAGTACAATTACGAAATTCTATTGTAATTACGTGTAATTATTAATAATGTGGTATTTAAATATGTAATTGAGTAATTAAAATTACTTCCTAACTTGTTCCATGGTTAGGAATTGCGACAATCGTTAATGAAGTCCTGGATTAAAATATTTTAGCAAACACCAATTATATTTAAACTAGCTTTTACCCGAGGCTTTGCTTGTGTTTTTCTGTTTTTTCCCATGAGGGCATGTAATCGGAATAAAAATCTTATCACTTAAGTCAGCACATACCCTGCCTGTATACCAAATTTCAACAAAATCAGTTCAGTGTGATTGGCGGACAAACATCCAAACATCCCAACAAAGAAACTTTCACATTTATAATATTAGTGTGATTGACCTCTGGGATAAGAACTTACCTAGAGCAATTAAATTAGTTTTGTTCTTATTAAAATGTGTTTATCAAAACTCTTCAATTTCATTACAATATGAATTAACCCAAAAAGCTCCGGATCCTGCCAATTTTAGTTAGCAAAGAAGAATTATCGGCATCGGTTACTTAAATAAATACTGGCTATATGTTTCTTCAAACTTGAAAAAATATGTAAGTATCTATATGAAAAAAGAACTGCAGATGACCTAGCGGGTCGCTAGGGCGGCTCAAAGCAGGAGAAGAAACGGTGTTTTTAGTAAGAGCCTGACACTCCCTCTCACCTCACTTAAGCCAAGAAAAGTTATTCGATGTCGTCCTTCCCCCCCGCCTGTCAAATAGGGGAAATGTTTTCTTAATTTTTTAACTGGCTCTTCTGCCTATATCTCTGTACAGTGTACACAATCCTGACCGTTATTTCCACAGACTATAAAAGGTCGGCGCGGGAAACACGGTCGAATGACAATTTTCAACTTCTTTTATTGTAAACAAAATTAAAATTTGAGGAAGAAATCTTCTGCTTTATTATGGCTATAATCTTATAATACCATTTAGGATAGTGCAGCATAAAGATTTTTTTTTTAAAGAAACGTTGCCCCACTTTAGGATTTTCTCCTGTGTCACGGGTGCGTTTACAAACATACAAGTTCACATACACAATGACACCCAGACCAGAAACAACAATTTGTGGATCACACAAAGTGTTGTTCCATGCGGGAATCGAACCCACGACACGTTGCACGGCAGCCGGTTGCCCAGCCACCGCACCAACCGTGCAGTCAGCTACAGCAACCGTGCAGATAGGTCGTAGTGGCCGTGGCTCTAAAGTTAAGATGCTACAGATGGTTAGTTAAGATCTTTCTCATGTATGAGCGTGCGGGTTCCAAAACTACCAACGGCAAGTACAAATTTACACTTTAACCGTGTTATCTAGACACACGGTAGCGAGTCAAGCCACGTCGCGGAGAACCTAATGGGTAACCGGGGCTCCGGCTCGACGTGCAGGAGAAGGAACGGGGTGGTTTTTAGTCAGTAAGAGTCTGACACTCCCTCCGCAGGTCCGAGCAGTCATTCGACTTAAAAAAAAAGCGAGTCAAGCCAAGTTCAAGAAAGAGAACTGGCGAGCCGCACCGTGTATTACACGAACGATTTGTATCGTAGCCACTTTTGACCCCCTCATAAATCAAAAACTACTTTACTTAAACGTATCAAATTTGGCTCATATCTTGAGACTTTTTTTAAGGCGGGGAAAATCATCGAATGACTGCTTCCGCCTGGGTGAGGCGGAAGGGAGTGTCAGACTCTTACTGACTAAAAACCACCCCGTTCCTTCTCCTGCACGTCGAGCCGAAGCCTCGGTTACCGGTTAGGTTCTGTGGTGGTCTGATGGCTCTTTGAGGCGCGCTCGGAACGCGACGCGCCGTACGCTCGGGTTCATATCTTGAGACTTGCGAGATGAATAAGTGTTCTAAATTTTATAAGCTTATCTCAAACGGTTATTTAGATATTAATGTCCAAAATTCCTCATTTTTATCATTGACTGACTGACTGACTGACCTTTAGATCAAAACTCTAACCCAGTTCCAGATAACCTAGATACTTAGTTAAAATTTGGAATGCAGGTAGGTAATTAGATAAATACAAAGCAATAAATAAAAAACTGTTATTTTTTAAATAATTAGAATCTATTATTACCCTTAACCGACGAGCATGTATGAAAAGATTGATGACTGTTGATGAAGCGAAAGAGGTATGTAGGCATCGTAGTAATTGGGTAGTTGCCAGGGACTGAGAATTAAAAATCTAATTATTCCGTCATTTAATTTTTTTTTATTTTTTTAAAACGTTGCCCTACACCAAGGGTTTTCTCCTGTGTCGTGGGTGAGTTTACAAACATACAAGTTCACATACACATGACACCCAGACCCGAAACAACAATTTGTGGATCACACAAAGTGTTGTTCCATGCGGGAATCGAACCCGCGACACGTTGCACGGCAGCCGGTTGCCCAGTCACCGCACCAACCGTGCAGTCACCGTGCTAAATGAATTTAGTTAAATGAAAAAATATTTGACGACACGTATTTTTTTATTTTCTCGTATAAAGATATCATGCCTAGATAAAATGGAGTAAAGGGTTTCGGGTTCGATTCCCGGGTCTACTGGGTTTTTAAAATTGCATTGCAGAAGTTGAGAGAATTGATTGCAGTGCGATACTCGCTCGGCTACGGACGTGTCTTCACTGCACACGGTTTGAATTTCTATTCGCGACTTGCGCGGCAATAGCCGCTGCACGGTGACACTATGAGTTCCAAACCGCTCATAGTGAACGAACTACTGGCGTTTCTAGTCCATGCTATTGACTACATGGATGAGGTGAGCATACTGCAAATATGCCGATCCAATTACAAGGAGGAGGAAGTCAGCAGCGCCAAGCTGTTACTGTTCCAGTCCCTGGGAAAACTAGACCAAATGCCGTCTCGTCGCAGAGATGGCACCGAGAAGAGTCTCCAAGACATAATCGATATGTTGAAGAAGACCGATCCAGATGACGTGCCTGACTTCGTGGCGAGGGAGCTAAGTAAACTACCCCCTGTCACTTTCGATCACGTTGATGTTACGAGACTGCTAAAGGACATTACATCACTGAAAGTTGAGATGACCAAGATGCAGTCCAGAATGGAGGAGTCAGACAAAATCATTGCTGATCTACGTGCCGAAATTACATCACTGCGCAATACAGGCTCAGTAATTAGGTCACCTGAGGCCTCAAAGGTGAACACACGTCGCGGAGCGCAGAACGCCACAATCGGCAGTTTTGAGTCTGCGAATACAAGTGTGTTGTCAACTGCCAAAATCGCTGACGAAGCATCGCCCGCCGTCGCTGTCACTCGCACCTCTACACCGGCTGCGGTAACGTCACACGTAGGTACGACGACCCCTACACGTGCTTACGCAGATATTGTCGCCAAGAAAACAACTGCGTTGCAGACTAAGCGACCTACTGAAAAGGGGATTAAGCAGAAGAGCTGTCAGCCCGCCCGCCAAAAGCAGCAAGTCGATAGAGATGGCTTTATCACTGTTCAGAGGAAGAAAAAGAAGTCATCCCAAAACAAGTGCGGCACTGCACCGACCGGGCCGAAACATTTGCTGCGTCCAGCTGTACCAGTGACGCTGCTGTACGTGTCCAGGCTGCATTACTCTACAAAGGTCGAGGAGATTGTAGAGTATATTCAGATCAAAACGAATTACACTCTAAGGGTTTTAAAATTAGAATCCCACCACAGCGTGAATTTCAATTCATTTGTGGTGAGAGTGCCTTCCGTGGATTTACCGAAATTCATGACACCAGAGTTTTGGCCGAAAGGTGTTGTTTTCCGGCGATTCCGCGGCCGGATACCTGACACCGCGCAGCACACGACGCCGACACAGCACAATAGTCGTGATAATTAGTGTTTTAATTTATTATTTACATTATGTATTTATAGTATTTTAAGTTAAAATTGTAGTAGATATTATAGTATTATTGTATTTTAATATGGGCCTTCGTTGCCTGATATAAATAAATAAATAAATAAAAAAATAAATAAATAAAAAAATCTGTGGGAGTACGGAGCCTGGAATTGTGCCAGGTATATGG